AACAGCGAGTTAATAATAAGCCTAGGTGTGGTCATCCTAAAAATAGCACACGCATTTTCTACACCACTGATACAGCAAACTCATCCCCACCGTAGTGTTTACAGAGCATTTTTACGCATCCCATTGAAGCAATTTGCTTTTAGCATCAATCCCACACAGCTATTCGTCAATGCGTGAATTGCTCATTTTGAGTTGTTGAACACAATTGAGCATTATTGAGTATTGCTGATTATGATTATGTAGTTGATGACAATTGTTGATGTCATGGCATAGTTAAATCGAAAAATGTGATACGACGCCAAATACAGGCAGCGATTTTCGCGTACCGCTCACGATTCACGCAAAAATCGTGGCTTAAATAGAACATCATTCTATACGGAACGCGCTGCGACCTAAATGTCAGGACAAGAAAGGAGTAGACTGTCTAATTTGGCCTAATGGCTTGGCCCCTAAGCACCGCAAATGGATCCGTTAACGTAACCAAATGATTACCGTCTCATAGAAAGGGAACAAATATGTTTGCTGCATAGAGCAATGCACATAATAACGCTACAATACATTACCCTCGCAATGTAAAGTCGTGTTTGCTCTCACCAGCAGCCCTCACATGTGCAGCTCTTTGATGCGGTCACGTACAAGGTCATTAACCTCTCTTCACCGAAGAGTACATGTTCGTGGTGTTCAGTCCGCCCGATGAATGAAAGCCGACATTCGGGGGCGAAAAGTTTCTGATTTACCGGAGGTGATCGGTGACAAAAACGGACACTTTTGCAAACCAACTGGTGGCAAAATTGCAAAAATAAAAATAAATTACAACAGGCCAGACCACATTAAAACAGACCGTCTCATCCCATCCCTAGACGAAACTCAAAGCTTAGTATTGGTCCGTACTCGCTAACAATAAATTACAACAGACCAGACCACATTAAAACAGACCGTCTCATCCCATCCCTAGACGAAACTCAAAGCTTAGTATTGGTCCGTACTCGCTAACGTTTGCACCGTGAGCATGCGTAGAGCATATGCCGAAGCGTTGATGTTTCGCTGTATGAGCAAGTCGAACCGCAAGATGTGGCCAAAAACAGTAGCTTTGATCAGGATATTCTTTAATAGGGGACAGAAATATACTACAAATTCTGGTATATCAGTGCTGACGTCACAGAACCGTGGTGTCGATGCTTTTCCAACGTTCCCTAGATCAGTGCTTTTCACACATTTTTCGGCCAAGATTCACTTCACATTACGCACAGCATAAAAACACAAATAGCTAGGCTTATTACTGGTCGTAAGAGTCGAAGGTGGCACACAATCTTGCGACGCACGTGGTCAGTTTGCTACGCGGCATTTTAAAGCGTCGTGCCATTTGAGACAGATGGGTTCGAGCGCTCGCGCGCAGAATTGGGTTCAGTGCAAGGCTTTTGGCTTCTGATGGTTGTGTTCATGCCGTGAGAAGCTGACTGGCAAGAAAAACGCAGCTAATCGTCAGTTCTTAAGATGCTGTGCCGCTTTTGTAAGGATCTAGCATGGGAGTGTCCCCAGCAATAGCGTCAAAAAGCCCTACCGATCTATGAGGATTATTTGCGGATACGTGAACTCCAGTTTCAGAGGTAAGCTGAGAACACTGGAGCGACAAATTTCAGTGACTCATCCTGAATTTACCGCTGATGAGAGGAACAGCGGCTTTGAGGTAGGAAGCCGAGCATCGCTGGTGTAGACCTCTCACACTGCCCGCGGCCTCGCAGATTGAGTGAACTGCTCGATTGACAGGCGTGAGATAAAACGCTTTTTGTTGTCATTACATTGTATGCAGTGCAAAAGGAAGGTAATAAAGGTGTTCACAACTGTCCTGTTCATTTGCTGATGCCAATGTTGCTTGGGTTCGTATCACATTTTATTGATGAGACCGTGTTAGGAAGTGTGAGTCCTGCACTGGTAATGATGAAGCGAAAACAGTGAAGGTCGCCAAAGCTTCCAGCTGATCCCTTGGCGACGTCACCGTACCAAAAGTGACATTCCTTTCAGGTGCTTGTAGAACCATGATAATTGGTAGCCGTCGGGCTACAGGGGTACCGTTTTTGCAAAATACTTACAGGAGAAGGAGGGGGGGGGGGGGGGGGCAGGAAGAAAAACAGGCTGAGCCTACATCCGATATGCAAATAAAATAGTTCTTACCCAGATGCCACCCACGTTTATTTCAGACTTTGGAGTAGGGGAGAAGTTTTTTAAGATGAGCTTTGATAGGCTGAGCCCTGAATAATGATGATAAGTGAAAAAATAATGGATAAAAATGGCAAATAAGAACAGTAGGTCATCGTCCTAGCTAAGGAGTATAATCCTGCCCCACTGAAAAGCAAACGATACACATTTAGGCTGCTCATTTTAATTGTGTCTTTATCTCATAATTTTATTTGTTTAGTCTTAACCATCATTCAGTGTTTGATAGCAAGTATGTGATATTTTGGTGCAGATGAATTCCCGAGACAAAAATGTTTCACGGTTATGTCGCATTACATTTCAGTTGTCGTTTTGTGCGCTGTATCGTATTTGGAGTTATATTGCAACAGTTTCCGAAAATTTGGTTACAGGTGGCAGTTAAGACGTTCCACATTTCGTCCGTAACAGAAAAGACACTTTTTCACCTCTGCCAACATTGCCAAAGCATCGATCAAAGGGACACTGCGGTAAGGTTATGCGTTCCCGGGAATGCCATCATATTGTGCTCTGCTTGCAAATGATTTATTTAAATTTGAAGGCGATGTTTCCCGTACTGCTAGATTACTCAGGTTATGCTGTGTTTAGGACAATTAAATAAAAACCGTGGATAATGTAGAAGACCAGGGCTGCTGTGATAATGCATCAGGCTGAATCCGCCGCCGTGCCAAAGCGTGATTAACGGCTGTGACACCAAAATGTAGTGTTTTTACATGTGCATGTGAGTTTGCATGCCAAATCAATGCCCGCTTTTTCTTTTCGTTTTTTTTTTGATCAAGCAATGCTACGCTGTTTTTCCAGGAGTGCACGGAAGCTTGCCATGGCGGCGTTAAAGCGCGACGTTGTGGGGCGTCATTCAGCAGTATTAGCGACCTGAGGGGTCATCTAGCTAGGCGACATCGAGTCGACGCTGCTCGAGGCTTTGGCGCTCAAGCTGTACGCCCAGGTTGGTCGTGTGGTATTGATCGGGCGTTTGAGTTGTACGCCCAGCGTGGTCATGTACTGTTTGTCGGGTGTTCGAGTCGTACATTCAGCGTAGTCATGTGGTGTTGGTCAGGCGCTTGAACGTGGTCATATTCTATTGGTTGGGTGCTCGAATTCCTCATGCAACGTCTTGTTGCACGCCCATTGTGGCTGCAGCTGCTGCGCCACTGTGCTGTTGTACCTCCCTCCCGTGCGAGGCTGTGCTGCTGTGCCTCCCTCCTGTGTGAGGCCGCGCTGTTGTACCTCGCTCCTGCGTGAGGTCATGCTGTTGTACCTCGCTCCTGCGTGAGGCTGCTTTCCGATCCGATCCGATCACGCCCTTGGTGCACACTAGCGCTAGAGTCCTCGCAGATGTTTCTCGTTCAGGCCCCATCTGTTTGGCGGCACGCCTGAGCTGGCTGGTGCAGTGAGCCTCGCACGCGAGTCGCGGCTCCTGCACCCCGGCGGCTGTACGGCTGCGTCACACTCGAAGATGGCCTGCGATGCTTACGCCGCCTGCCTGTGTCGTCGGCGCCGCTCTTTGGTGATGGCGATTGCTTTGCAGTGCTGTTCGGTCACCTTGAATGTCACAGCATGAGTCTTGTAAAACGGCGAAGGTCGGGCCGGCGTGGAGAGTTCTTTCATTCAAACAGATGATAGATGAGATTTTTGTGCTGGTGTCCAAAAGGAGCGTCCGCCCGGACACACCTCGACCTGTTGCCGGTCATGCGGCGGCCCACAGGCGGTGGCCTCTTCATATGTCAAAGATTCCCCGGATGGATGAGTCACAGAGAGTGACGATGTATGAAGACCGTGTCGCGATCGCATCTCCGCTCACGTAGCGCGCCGTCCAGGCTGGCTGGCTACACGCGCGTGCTGGCGAACTCGCCGGCCGAGTATTCCGTGCTTGTGGCCAGGCTCGTGCTGCATGTTGGTGAGGCGCGAGCTGTGATGACTTGTACACCATCATCAAGCCTGATGTAGCTTTGATGTAACTTAAGTGGGTTTTTCAACGCTGGCACTGGCGGTTTAAATGTGTTTGTCGTCGCCTTCCCGTCAGTACGTATCTGGTGCGCCATGTCATCTGCCCGCATAAAACAGCATTTGTTCACAGTCTCTCTCTACGTTGAACGCCGGTCCCCAAGTGTTTCATTCCGCTGTTCAGAACTCGTGGTGCCCGCTCTTCTCGAACAGTCCGTCATTTCGAGGTCGCGATCGATCTCAGCCTGTCTGATCACATAGTGAGACCAAACTTTGCAGAAGTTTGAAATGAGTCTCGTTACTCATGTAACGGAACTATTCCGCTCATGTACTCAAATCTCGGGAATGATGAAGCCGAACTCCTCAGTCGAAAGTCCGTTGGCAATAAATCAGTTTTGGCTCAATAGAAACTTTGCTCGGGTTCATTCAGCGCCAACATCAATATTTTAACTGATATGAGCCTTAGCCTGAACTTTTTAACGGCACAGGTATTACTGATGTGAATCGGTATGTCCCTTCAGGCCTTCAGAGCAACCGGATAATAAGATCTGGAACGCTGGGTGGCAAGAGCCCATTGTACAGCATAGAACGCGCCAAACTTTCACATTTTCGCCGCTCAAATGACTCCAACAGTAAATTTAAACCTATCGCAAATGAACAAACGCTGTCTCCTTACGCACGGCGAGGAGGAACATGCGAGTGTCTTCCAACCTGAACTTTGACACTACTCAATGCCAAACAAAAACAAACAACAGCGATTGCAACTTGACTACAGTCATCAAAATCAACCTTAGCCTGCACATTCCATGTTTGCTGCAACAAGAAGCCTGGTGAGACGGACTTACTTGATATGGTTCCGGGGAATGTTGTGGATGTCCTTGTAGACGACCTTGAGGCGCAGGAAGTCGCCGTTGGTGTCGGCCTCGACGGTCCAGGCCTGGCGGTCGCGGTCGTGGCAGGGGCCTGACGCGGGCGCGGCCAGCGTACCCACCACCAGCTCGCCGACCGTGTTGGCCATCAGCATCTCGCAGACGACCTTGAGCCTGCCGGCCGCGCACAGGTCGTGGAGCGCGGCGCGCGGCGTCCAGCCTGGGCCGCGGCCGTCTCGGTCGCTCACCTCCTCCAGGATGCCCGAGATGGCCGCCGCCTCGCCGTCGCCCAGCGTGAGGTTGTACCGCACGCGACACTTGTGCTCGAACCCGGTGAGCCGGCGGAGCGCGGCGCTCACGCGCTGCGGGTCCTCCGCCGCCCGCTGCACCGTCACACTCCACTCAAAATTGCCGAACGTGAAGAAGCTCGTCTCGAGACGCGCCTCCTCCTTGAGCGACCGCGGCACCCCCAGGTCGGCCTCGAAAACGGTCCGCACATTTGTCATGGTCAGCTCCAGCTGAAACTCGCCGTTGGCGTCTGTGAACTTGCGCTCGTATAGGCTTCCGACGTTGATAAACTTGCGGTTACCCTGCGCTGGGGACTCCTTGGAAAACTTGATCTGCTTTCCGCTGAAGCTCTCGTTACCGCTAAAGTGGTCGCGGTTAAGCAGGGAGAAGGCGAAATCGATGTACAGGCGCACGTGCTCAGATGGGTTCTTCCACACCAAATACACGCCGAGAAGCTTCTCGTTGCGGCTGAAGGTGACGGCCCATCGGTGGAATCCGTAGGGAAACTCCTTGGTGGTGACATCACGATGCAGGTCTCGCGTCACCGTCTTGGTCACGACGAAGGAGAAGACGCGTGTGTTGCCCCGGTCGTGTACCTTTACGAACCGGTACAGCAGCGCCATTCTGCAAACGAGACAGCCGTCATCGTGGCTTACGCAGCACTACGGCATCGGTCGAAATGCGTCGTCACGTGACATGGATGCACCACTCGCAAAGGAGCTGATACTTTACGAAGCGTCAAGTCTCTGTTACATTTCTGAGCATGGCTTTTCTGTGGTGAAGGTCAGAACAGTTCAGAAAGGATGTGCAGATGTCGGGTATAGATAGCAATGCAGACATCAATGTAGCAGCTGTCGCGGCCGCTCGTACTGCCGTATTGCACTGACAAACGTCGTGATTCACAATTGCATCACTTTTAAAGACACGCGTGGCTGCTGCGCTAGATTGAATGGTCAGATGTTCTCACATCTACAACCTCTTTACAGAAGCATCGAGCTGAGCACCTCAACCGAGAGAAACTTCCCCAAGGGAATGCCAGAGTTTTAGCGAATTGTGATATGGACAGATCATGTCTGAGCCAAGAAGAAAGCCATCCAGGTAGTGTCAACAGGCAGGCGCCAACTGGATGACGATGTTTCCACATGCACCGCAATGCATCTTACGAACCGAACCGAAAACGTTTGCTACAGTAGTCAAAAGTCGGGGACACTTAGCTCACATGGAGTGTTCAGCCACAAGCGAGGTGCTGAGAGCTCACCATCAAAGTTCTAAACACTTCCCTGGACTTATAAGCCGGTCAAATGATCCCCCTTACGTTAAAAGGCGTGCGATACAACAGATGCACGCATTCGGAAGTGTGGAGCTTTTGTACGATGGCTCACGAGAGGCACATCAAAGCTCGTAGACTACAGTCGATCGGCGGGACATTTGAAAGAACTCGGCGATGACTATAAATACGAGTTTTGCCAATAGATAAGTTATTCCATTAAGTTCTTAACGTAATCACGACATCATGAGTCAGAAGAGAGAGATAAAGGGAGAGAGAGAAAAAGAAGAGAAGAGACGAGAGAAGAGAGAAAGAGAGAGAGAGCGAGAGAGAGGGGATAAGGATAGAGGAAGAAGAGAGAGGGGAGAGATAGGAGAGATAGAAGAGAGAGAGAGAGAGAGAAGAGAGGAGGAAGAGGAGAGAAGAGAGAGAGAGAGAGAGAGAGAGAGAGAGAGAGAAAGAGAGAGAGAGAGAGAAGAGAGAGGAGAGAGAAGAGAGAGAGAGAGAGGAGAGAGAGAGAGAGAGAGAGAAGAAGAGAGAGAGAGATAGAGAGAGAGAGAGAGAGAGAGAA